CAAATACCTGTACTTTCTACTTCTTACATGTTGAACTCAAATACCTGTACTTTCTACTTCTTACATGTTGAACTCAAATACCTGTACTTTCTACTTCTTACATGTTGAACTCAAATACCTGTACTTTCTACTTCTTACATGTTGAACTCAAATACCTGTACTTTCTACTTCTTACATTTTCCAAACAGGCTGGTTCCTTTAGTCTGAATGTGTGTTTGGTGGCGTGATCATTATTATTTAGATTCATTGCGCGCCTATTGATTTGAACACGATCCGTGTATCCATCATTTCCTGGTCTTCTCTAAAGAAGAGGGACCAATGAAAACGTTGTCATGTTGAATAAAGGTTATCTGACTCTCTCCTCAGGTGGGATCCTACGACCTGACGCTGCTGAACGTTCACCTGCAGAGCGTCTCTTCTTCACAGTCAAACGGGAGGAATCTTCACATCGATGACACAAACAGTTTCCCCCCCGCCCTGCAGGACACACTCAGAGGTCAGTCTGCACACTGAGACACCTGGGGAACGTTATGTACACGCGTTTACTGAAGCTGTTATCCAGGAAAACACAGCCGAGAAATCAGACTTGGAAAAGCTTTTTTAATTTGACCTTCAAGGCTTCCGTACCTGTCAGACATTCACAGCGTGGAGAAACAGATCACACTTTAATGACAGAATGGAGAAATGTGTGAGATGTGTAGAGCCACGTTAGGTCAACCGCTACAGAAAGACAATCACCATTAAATTAGTGGAAAGTTATCCTTAGTCCAAGATTACAGAAAAATGTATATTATCAAACTAACATTTGATTTGGATTCTGCATAGTTCCTAGTTTAGGGATAGTACTGCGTGCATCGTACCCCTCCTCTGTGTTAATCTCACCTCCCCTCTTGTCTCCAGGCGAGAAGGAGCTGGTGGTTCTGGGAGATTTTGGCTCCTCCCCCCCCTCACAGCTGGAGGTCCTGAGGAGAGAGAAGCTCTCCCCCCTGCTGAGCTCCTCCACCTTCACGAACATCAGCACCTCCTGCCCTCAGGGCTCCGGCTGCTTGGACAACATCTGGCTGAGCCGCTCCCTCAGGAAGATCTACTCAGGTACCTTAGCTACAGATATTAAGTCATTAGGTACAGGTCAATTAGAAGCTACTCAGGTACCTTAGCTACAGATATTAAGTCATTAGGTACAGGTCAATTAGAAGCTGCTCAGGTACCTTAGCTACAGATATTAAGCAAATAGTTACAGGTCAATTAGAAGCTACTCAGGAACCTTAGCTACAGATATTAAGTCATTAGGTACAGGTCAATTAGAAGCTGCTCAGGTACCTTAGCTACAGATATTAAGTCATTAGGTACAGGTCAATTAGAAGCTGCTCAGGTACCTTAGCTACAGATATTAAGCAAATAGTTACAGGTCAATTAGAAGCTACTCAGGTACCTTAGCTACAGATATTAAGTCATTAGGTACAGGTCAATTAAAGGTCTCCTATTATACTATTTGTAGGTCTCAGATATATACAAATATATAAAAAACATGTCTATGAAGTGTCTTGCAGATCATTCTAGTCTCATCCCCCTTTATTTCAGCTGTTACTAAAGTGCTGGTTCTGGGTCAGTAGCTTCTTCACACAGACTCTCTCAGTACAGGTTAGCTCTGAGTGTTAGCGCTGCTTGCTAATGTAAACAAAGACCATATTACGTCCAAAACACGTCACTCATTGTTTCTGACAGCAACGTTTCTGATTGGCCCGTGGGTGTAAAGCCCGCCCACATTTTAGTAATGTGGTCATGACGCAGCAAATCTGGATCAGCTCCGTTGTTCCCTGTGTTTAGAGATGTGGGTACGGAGGAAAAGAGAGAGGGGTTTATTTCCTTACACTTTGAGAGTCTCCTGACACACGGGGACACACCGGGGGGGGACACACCAGGGACACACCGAGGACTAATCGGGGGGACACACTGGGGACACACACCGGGGGGGGGACACTGGGGACACACTGGGGGGGGACACCAGGGACACATCGGGGGTACACTGGGGACACACACCGGGGGCACACCGGGGGGACACATGTTGATGTAGAAAAGACATCAGAGAGTGGCCGTTGCATGATAGGAGACCTTTAAAGTGAATCAAGACCTTTCAGATCATGATTAACGATCCACTGTGACTCCTCTCCTCTCTCCTCTCCCCCCCTCAGGTCACTTCCTGGTGGTGAGGGAGGGTCTGACTAATCCCTGGATCCCTGATAACTGGTCTTGGGGAGGAGTCGCCTCTGATCACTGCCCCCTGGTGGCTGAGTTTTACACCGAAGTTTCCCCCAAAGAACTGAGTCGACCGAGCATCGTGGAGCGAGACATCGTGCCCAAACACGAGAGGTGAGGAAGAGGAGGAGGAAGAAGAAGACTCTGAGAGGATGACTGATGAAGACTCAGATTGTGATGAAGAGCCGTGTTGCCTTTGGGGTTTTATTGATCAGTGTGATAGAAACTGGTCGTAGAGCCATAACAGACTTAATATATTAATATATAGCGTTCTTATCAAATGTTCTTTAGCAGAAATGTGCCAAACGTTTTCTATGTGTAAATAAAGAGAATTAATACTTGCTCTGCCTCAACTATCATTCATGGGAAATGTCCACAGTATCAGATACATGTACTCAAGTATTTTAACTTTACACTACTTAATACTTCCACTTGCATGATTAAAACCTGAGGGAAAACGTTAACAAATCCAAGCTTTCAAACATTCACTGACATTTTATTTTGCTGATTTATTTGAAGACCTGCTGCATAAACGGAAAGTCAATAATTGCTTGATATTAAGCAGCAATCACAGATTTGAAATTAGTATAAAGTAACTGAAGTATATTTACTCATGTACTTTTCTTAAGTACATATTAAGGTACTTACATAATTTCTGCAGTTCTTAAAGCATGCATTATGTGATGCTGCCCTCTAGTGGAGAGCTGGGTGTATTTCACCACAAACACATTTACTGTCTCCTCGATGGTTCAAGGTTCAGTCTGATATTGTCCTTTAATCATGAAACCATGGAAGTGTTATTCCTGTCATCACTGATGTGTGTTTACTATTGGTGTGTGTGTGTGTGTGTGTGCTATAGACTGATGTTTGTGTGTGGTACTGATGTGTTGTTCAGGTTGTTGTTTGTAGTTGTCTCTGGATCTCTGAATGGTTTCCAGTTTCAATGAAATGTGACGCTGCTGAATGGGAAGAGACACACGTGTGTGTGTGTGTGTGTGTGTGTGTGTGTGTGTGTGTGTGTGTGTGTGTGTGTGTGTGTGTGTGTGTGTGTGTGTGTGTGTGTGTGTGTGTGTGTGTGTGTGTGTCTCTTGTACTATCACTACACAAACAAACATCTGATTACACAACATCCAGTGTTTTGTGTTACAGTCAGAACGATGAATACTTTAGGAGATAAAAAGCACACCGATTATTTCAGGGAGTTTTATTCAGAGATTCTAAAATATCCCAAACAAACAAGTCACTTCAATAATACAAAAACAGGAAAACCAAGTCAGTAAACGGTACCATCAACAGCCACTCTGGATATCAGGTCAACTATTACACCTCAAGGCGTTGGTTTGTCTTTTAAAACCCAAATATGTATAATTAATGACACCAACATGATATCAGTGCAGAGCTTTAAGGACAGGGTGCAAACAGGAAGTCACCTTCAAAACAAAAGACGCTCACACTTCAGGGAGTTTGTGTTTTTACAGGAAATGTGGAGAAGCTGGAGCTGGAGTGTTTCAGAACGTGTGTCTACACAAAGTGTCCACAGGGAACAGAGGGCAGGCGCGTGTTCACCTCCTGAGGAGACGGCTGTAACACAGCAGGTAAGTACACTTAGATCATCAGAGAACCCTAAATATAGAAATGTTCTGACGGCTCATGCTCAAATTAATATTCATGCACTAATCCACCAGATGTGAAGCATCGAGAAGTCTCTGAACATGTGGTTTAACTCTCCGTTAGGCAGCTTTCACATCAGGTCACTGCTCAGGTCGGGCTCCAAAGAAGACTGATGGTCCCCTCAGTTTGCTCTTTTCACGTTAGAGAAGACAACAGACTAGTTCCCTTCGGCCAACAGAGAAAGCACGGAGTCATTTCACAAACTAGAACAGCACAGCGTCTCTTGATCCCACTTTAAAGGGTTGTTGAACGAAAAGGACGTGAAGAAATCCCTATGATGTGTTTTCAGTGAACTTCCATCCATAGCAAAGCAACGACACGCATCTTATTCAACTCTTTAATAATAAGAACTGCATTCAGGGGACTTTATCAAAGGTCTTTGTTCATGTGGTCGGTTTAACGTAAAGAAAGAAAGGTTTTTAAGTCTCAAACATCAAATAGCCTGAAACTAATCCGTTATAAGTCGCGCTCTAATTAACAGACAGCGGTCAGAAGTGAGTAAAACATCTGCAGCTACTTTGCACACTTTAGGAATGTTTATACCGTTTTCGTCGCAGACTATAGAGTGTTTTAATGCATTCTGTGTATTACAAACTGTGTCATGATGATGTATATCTGTCCTTCTGTTGATACGTGGATATTAACGACATGTGTAATGTCAACTTTCGGCAAGAGAATTCAATCAGAGACGAACAAAGTGTGTGGATCTGAAATGGGCTTAGAGCATCAGAGGGTCAGAGGTTTGGTCCCCTGCCGTCTGATGTGTAACCTGCTTTGGAAACAAACCCTACATTTCTCCTCCAGGCATTTCTAAACTAAGGAACATTTAAAAACCTCCCAAACCTCAGTGAGCGTGGAGACTGTGAAATAAAACACTTGGCATCAAACTCTTTGAATGCAGTAAAGACATGTTAGTGTTCAGAGGAGTTGGCACTGAAGAATCTAACGTACCTCACGAACGTGCAGTGCAGCATGCTGGGTAATGGCAGTGGGTGTGTGTGTGTGTAAGTGTGAGTGTGTGTGTGTGTGTGTGTCTGAGTCTGTGTGTGTGTGTGTGTGTGTGTGTGTGTGTGTGTGTGTGTGTGTGTGTGTGTGTGTGTGTGTGTGTGTGTGTGTGTGTGTGTGTGAGTCAGATGATGCTCCTCAGCTCCTGGTCTGTCAGCTGATTGGTCTCCATGATCTTCAGCAGCTGTTCACAGTATCTGCTCTGATCCTGCAGGAAATGAGGAATCCTCACGTTCTCCATCTGAGCCGACGCCTTCAGACGATCCACGTCCTCAAAAGACACCTGAGGAATACAAGAGATACGACCGGCTGCAGTTACACTCAAACAGACATTATGAGGAACCGTCAGAACCAGAACAACTGGAGTAATTCAGAACAACTGGAGTAATTCATGATTTAAATTCAATGTAATACACATATAGAAATGTGTATGCTAAGTTTCTAACGGGGGTAACTCCTTTAAAGTCCTGAGATATTGTGAAGAGAGGAAGAAGGAAGGAAACACTTCTGAAGATCATCCAGTGAATCAATATCACAGCTGCTCAGTGAGTCTGTGAACGTGACTGTGCTCATATATAAAGATGGAGGTCCTCACCTTCCCCAGAGCCATCAGCAGGGGGAAGTTGATCTTGTCTCTGAACCTCAGGATCTTCAGGATCCCGTCCAGATACACCTGGTCTTTACTGAAGCATCCTGCAGCAGGAGGAGGAGGAGGAGATAAGAAGTACTTTATTGATCCCAATTGAGGAAATGTTAGAGTCGCAGCAGCATAAAAAGACACAGCATTGTACAAAATATCAAGACACAACACATGGAAAACAAACATGGAACATCACAGCAGGATCAGTGAGAGAGAAGCGTGCATCTGATCTGTAGCTCTGTGTTCACTGAGAGGACAGACTGGAGCACAAAGGATGCTTCAGGCTGACTTTAGTGAATTGAGGGACCCTGTGTCTGAGGAATGGGATATTAAATATTAGATTGATTATAAATGTACAGTGTGATTCTAAGTCCAGTTGTCCAAGAGAAGCTGTGGAGCAGAGATGATGTAATGTAGTGGTTTAAGGACCCTCAGCAGGCTGCTTGGTGTCCCTCTGAGTCTCGTCTCATGCTTCAGAAGTATCCCTCACAGATATAGCTCCAACAGGTATAATGATGTAATGCAGTGATCTGAGGACCCTCACCTGGCTGCTTGGTATCCCTCTGGCCCCTCTTGGCCCTCACACAGTAGTCCCAGCGGGTGTTGGGGTCCTGCAGGAAGCCCCCCAGGCAGTGGAAGAGCTGACAGAAGGACATGCTGCTGGCCTGGTGCACGGTGTAGTAAAGAAGAGCTGCTCTCCACAGCGTGGGGTCCTTTCTGAAGAGGACGCTGTGCAGGCTGGCCAGACCCTCCTCTGTGGGGTTCAGGGGCCTCAGGTTGAGCCTCCTGCGGGCCGACGCGCTGCTCCACGGCTGCTGCAGGTTGTTCAGCCCGCGGAAATAATGAGTTCCTGGAGGAGGGAGAGAGAAGTTTAAAACGCACGTTATGCAAACAATCTAGGTAAGTTTAGTTACATAGCACTTTTCAACACAAGGCAATTGAAAGTGTAATCCTCAGAGGTGTTAAGTAACTAAGTAGATGTACTCAAGAACTGTATTCAAGCAACATTTTAAGATACTTGTACTTTACTTGAGTATTTCCATTTCTTGCCATCAGTTATATACAGTACATGAAATAATGAGCTCCTGGAGATCAATCCTAACAATGGTCAAAGAGACAGCCTTCTGTCTTTTCTAAGGAAGTGAGAATTAGAAGCTGGATGTGAATTCAAACTGCGGGGAAATCAAACCAGAGAAGGAAGTTATACCTAAATGAGACTAAATGATAAATCTACTACAACACTAAGCACATTATTGTCCTCCAGGACCCCACATTTAGAATAACCCCTCACCGATCTCGTGCCGCAGCATCCCCTCCAGCCAGTGCTCTCTGGCGCTGCAGATGTTGATGGTGAGGGTCGGGCGGCTGTTCACCACCGTCATGGAGGCTCTGGAGAGCAGGTCCTCCGTCACCTGCACCACGATCTGTTTAACACACCATATTACATAATGTCAGGGAATCATTTGCCCTGCATGTCCTATCCTCCTATATGAGATGAGAGAAACCCAGACTATCAGAGAGATATTAAACAAATCAAAGTTAGTCAGACGACTCATTGTAGAAGAAAAGAAAAAGGCAAATACTACAACTTTTTAACGACCAACTATGGGGTTCCTCAGGGCTCTATACTGGGTACATTATGCATTTTTTTCTTACAATAAAACCCAACATCTCGTTTCATTTTTACACTTACACCACCTCTCTTAGAGCCCAATAGCTAAATAATGTCTATGAATACATGCTTGGAGAGTTTAAAACATTAGATTACAATGATCGAGCTAAGATAAGTGTTCAACCCATTATTTTATTTTTAAGAATTTTGACCCGACACATAAAGACAAGACAAATACTACAACTTTTTAACGACCAACTATGGGAAGTAGAGTAGTTGTCGACTCCTCTTCATCCTATGGGGTTCGCCCTCTGACATCGATGCTCAGCCTTGGACAGCCGCTATCTCCCTTAAGGGGTGGCTGCCCTAGCATTTTGTTGTTGTTACCCGTTTGTGACCGGGCAACTTTCGGTCAGAGATAGTTATTGTTGTGGGACACCTGGCACACATCCTTCTCAGGGTGTGGATGACCCAGAGGTGTAAGATCCTCTAGCCATAACCGACAACTAAAGTTGATTCAGTGTCCCCAGCTGTTTAGTCTATCTAGTGAAGAATGTTGATTCCCCTCAGCAAACTAGTAAAACCTCTACCAGAGAAGAGAACCCTCAGAATTGATTGTGGCATCTCAACCGTGTGGTCAGATCGTGGCTCCTGACATGTTGTGTGAATTCTCGAAGCTCCAAATAAACCGTCAGTGTTTGCCATCAAAGCTCCCGCTCTCCTCGTGTCCCTCTGAGTCCTGTTTCCTATTGCTTCAGAAGTTTCTTTCACACATAAGAGTTCAGTTTAGCTGATGCTTCAAACCAAAGCAATTGTTCTACAGAAGCAATTTGGAGTTAAGTATCTTGGCCAATAACATTTGGACATATTGACCGTAGGATTCAGGGAGAGAAACCCTAACCCTCTGATTGGGGGACAGTCTTTTCCCCCCCGGAGGCACATCAACCATACACTCACAATTAACCGTAAAATAAAGGCTGTATATTATCCTATAACCTGTCCAATCCACTTCCACAACTTCCCAACATCAGTGAAGTATCCCAACAGGAAGCTCAGGAAAAGGCTTGTTTCCAAAATGAAAGCCACAGAAGCAACAATAAAGCTATCAACACCTACTTAGCACTAGAGATATTAGCACCTAATGCAAAACAACTGATGATAATAAGTGTGTTTTTAGGTATAGTTACAAAGCTTGTGTTCTTGTGACTCTGTCCTGCCCGTAATGTGTTAATAAAATGTCTGAGTAGGCGGACATGTATTCAAATAATGCCCATGAATACATCAGTGGCAGATTAAATTGACGTTGTCCTTGTGTCTATGCAGACTGCGGACATATACTCTTGGTTACAGAAAAACGTATACTGTCATTTGTAGCTCGGCTCAACACGATGCAGAAAGAGTCGTGTGAGTTTATCGTTTGGTTTCTCCTTGAATGCTATTCCCTTTCTTGTTTTTCCTTCACTGTCTAAAACCTATTAAGACTCTCCCAAGGATGCTCGAGCTGTGTGTGTGTGTGTGTGTGTGTGTGTGTGTGTGTGTGTGTGTGTGTGTGTGTGTGTGTGTGTGTGTGTGTGTGTGTGTGTGTGTAATGTGTTCAGTGGGCCATTAATAACCCGGTGATGTAACGTGTCTTTGTTGGTGGTTACATAAAGCAAAGTGCAGGATGACTTCAGGGAGCGACTGTTTTTTTGCAAGGTCTGATTCTCCCTGGAGCTGATTGGCTGTGACGCTGCTGTCTGCTGATCTGATATCATGTCAGCATCCAGAACAACACCCAAAGACACCAGGCTACAAACAACAGCCTCTTAATGACTACAGAACAAGTGCAGAAATGCAATTGGAGTTATCCATGACTATTTGTGAGTTCAAAAGCCATTTTTTTGCCACACAATTACATATTAAACCAGTAGAAAGATGCAAAAAGTAGTAAGGACGTAATGTTGCAAGGCATATAACAACATATACAAAATACCCCTCATTCATGCTGGAAATTGGATTGAAAGTGGCGCAAAAGTCTGATTAAACAACGTCAGATCGTCAGGAGAATCTTCATGCTTGTGATGAAGTATGAAGATTCTCCTGACATCCAACTTTTTGACTTTATGTTAAATGACCTGCAGTAGGAATGGTCAGAACTGTGTTTTGTGGAGTTGAAATCAAACTACAACGCCATAAGATTGTGCACATTTTAAAGTAAATGCATGTGTTTTTCTCCTCGTACCTCCCCCACACAGCCCTCCTTCTCCATGTACTTCTTGACGTTGTGGCAGACGCGACTCTTGCTCAGCAGATTTCCTCCGGTGGCTTGTTCAAACTTCTCATAGCTGCCGTATCTCTGCAGAGCCAACTCCATGATGTTCACCGCCTGAAGAGAGGAGGAAACATACTGCTGGTGATGCTGAGGACATTGTTGAATAATGGTTCGAAAGAAAAACAAAGCGAGTCTAGTCCAAACTGAACGTTTTTACTTTATATTATTGTAACAGTTTGCAACAAGAACGGTAATAGAGGGGGAAAATTCACTCAAACGAGAAAGAGCAGGATACATACTTGCACTTCAAAATAAAAGCATTTCATGTCAAACATTTCGTCGTTAACTTTTGTCAGGAAGCAAATAAACAAATTATTTTACTGCCTTCAATAAAGGAAGTTACAACAGACATAAAGGACTTGGCAATAACTGCAAGATGTGCTGATGAGAAGCTATATGAGATAGCAAGAAACTTAGACTGTCAGACAGATATTAAACAAATACAGAAGAAAATGCAAATTCTACAACCTTTTGACGACCAACTATGGGGTTCCTCAGGGCTCTATACTGGGTACATTATTTTTCTTTTTTTAAGTTGCTCTTATTTACAATAAAACCCAACATCTCATTTCATTATTACACTGATACCACCTCTCTTAGAGCATCTCTCTCTCTTAGAATAGCTAAAGAACGACTATGAACACATGTTGGGAGAGTTTAAAACATTAGATTACAATGATCGAGCTAAGATAAGTGTTCAACCCATAATTTTATTTTTAAGAATTTTGACCCGACACTTATAGAAAAGACAAACACTACAACTTTTTAACGACGAACTATGGGAAGAAGAGGAGTTGTCGATTCCTCTTCATCCTATGGGGTTCCTCAGGGCTCTATACTGGGTACATATTTCTTTTTAGGTTGCTCTTATTGACAATAAAACGCAACATCTGTTTTCATTTGTACACTGATGCCACCTCTCTTCATGCCTAATAGCTACAGGATGACTATGAATACATGTTGGGAGAGTTTAAAACATCAGATTACTACGATTCAGATAAGATAAGAGTTCAACCAATTATTTGATTTTTAAGAATTCTGACGCGACACATAGAGATCTGGACATCTGACAATTGAAAAGTAAACTTGTCTGTTCTCCTTGTGGAAAAACTGATATAAAGACAGTGTTTCTAAATGACCTCCAAACTGGTTTTGCATTTCTGTTTCTGCAGTTACTTGGTACTTAATATGCAACAAAGACTGTGAACTTACACCAGTATATCCCCAATAAATCTTTAAACAACTGGCAAATGTATCAGTCTAGCTCTTCTTATAATTACAGTAAACTGAGCCTTTAGGAGATGTGTACGAAGCAGGTCAATAGGTAAGGAGTAAGTGAAACAAAGGAGGCATTTATTAAGAAATGATAACTGGACTTCTAACAAAAACAGACCGAAGGAAATAAAGCAAAACAGAATAAATGAAAACACCAATGAAGTCAAGTAAAGCCACCTCCTCACAACTCCAGTGATATCATCTATTTACAGCATGATATAACCTTTAAGAGATACTGTAGATTGTGTTTTTATCCTTTATTATGTATTTATCATGTCCAGAATGTAGAGAGTGATTCCTGCCATTAGTCCGGCTTCACACTCATTTATAATTAAAGTTCCTGTGTAACTCTAGCGCACAGTCTGGCTTTACAACGAATGAAATCATGCTGAATATTAATTTAAGGGGTGCTTCATTACAGTGAAATCTAATGAGTATTAATACCTTCTATTCCCACGGATTCATTATTATTCTGTTAGACAAATGAGCTGAAAGTGACAATGCTCTTTGAAAAGGCATCGCAGAAATATTAAAGCATGCCAAACTAGGGCAGACTCTAGGTAGAAAGCATCCTCCACAGGATCGTTTGACTGCGTTGCTTGTTGAAATCTTCCTCTCACGCTTTCCTTTGTCTTACTGTGTCTGTGCACGACTTTCTAAAAAAAGCCTGAAACCCAACACCACTGTTTTCCTTCTCACTCTGCACATCTCTGCATGTATTTGTTGTGGATAGTTCAGAATATGCATTTTAATTCTTGTCTTTTTTCTGTGTGTTTCTTCTACAGCTCTAGTGTTACTTATCTAACATGATTATTAATGTGGTAAATGCATGATGTGTGAAACGTGTCTTTATCTTCTTGTTTATAGCATAAACATCTGTTTGCAGTCCACATATGTATATTATTACAATAAGCAGTAGTTTATTCCAACGTACTGTATTTATTTACTATTTTATCTACCTATTTCACATATTCCAGCTTTTCTACTTGCTCCACTGTGTCATTTGCAGCATTTTGATGTATTTTATTTCTTAAGTATATTGTATTATAACTCCTGGAAGACCCTGGGACTTCAGATGTCCATTGCCAACAACTACCCAGTAGCTTTTGTGCATATTGCAAAAAAGACGTTGAAATGTTAATGTTGTCTTAAGAAGCCAAATGAGAAATCCTCCGGAGTTTGCTTAATAAAGTCCTCTGTATCCCGAATGAATTCCTCATCCCACCCACCTTCCCTTTCTCTTAGGTAACCCACTCTCTCTGAATCAGCTCTGATCCTCCATGACGTTAAACAGCATTGGCAGGAAGTCTCTGAGATCTCAGTCTGCAGATCTGAGACCAGCAGCCTCAGCGCTGAACTAATGCACCAGGGAAGTTGTTAGATGTGATGAACGATGTGTCACTGCTTCTGGCCCAAATTGGTGTCATTCTGCACCTCGTGACCAAATGTACTTTCTCTGTTCGTGCAGCATACAAGCAAGGTCTTCAGTTTTACTTTGAAAGAGAACTTAAGATGCTTTCATACCCTTAAAAAGACTGGGGATAATGATCAGTAAGAATGGGTCCAACCTGATGGTAGTTATTGGAAACCTCAGGGGGGAACTTTACAACAAGTTAAACCCATGAATGCACATCCAATTTTCACTTTTAGCTCTGTTTTGGTCTCCTCCCTCTCCAGAGAAAACACATCTGCCTTTTTAGTTCCCGGTTTGTTCACAAGCTAGTCAGCCATTCAGGGAAGTAGTGCTCAAAGTGTTTATCAGCGTTTAAAAACTATATTAATGGGAGCTTTGAGATGGATTTGAAACAGTACATCTGCAAAAACCAGAACAGAAAAGCTTTTGAATTGCACAAAGTCATTTAAGCTATTGTTCAAATAAAGAAAACATGTTGTGTGTTGCCTCAATAATAGATACAGTCCACTTGGAAGATATTTTAAAGCATTTCAATAAAGCTTATTTGTTACGGCTGTTATTGCTCTCACCTAGCCGAACAAACCAAGAAAAAATAATTGAAATGTTCCAAAGAGACTGTTGGTTAAATCCTGAATGTCCTCTTCCAACATGAGAGTAACTTGATAACAGAGGTATCAACTGTAGCTGTGAACATGACAGGATGTGTGATTACCTAGAAGAGCATCTGGACTGTTTGAGGCATATGATAGCTATGTGATTAACATGATGATTCAGCCTCTATGGAGAGAGACATATGACAAGCATGATAATTTCTGACGTGGAGCTAATCAGAATTTTTAGAAAAAGTCAGAATTTTTGGAAAAGGTCAGAATTTTTGGAAAAAAGTCAGAATTTTTTGAAAAGGTCAGAATTTTTAGAAAAGGCAGAATTTTTAGAAAAGGTCAGAATTTTTTGAAAAAGTCAGAATTTTTAGAAAGGTCAGAATATCAACATTTTGCGAAAAAGTCAGAATGTTTCAGGAAAAGTCAGAATTTTCTGAAAAAGTCAGATTTATTTGAAAAAGTCAGAATTTTTAGAAAAGGTCAGAATATGGAGATTTTGCGAAAAAGTATGTTTCTAACAAAGACAGAGAACGTTACCTGCGTGAGGAAGCGATCGGAGGCGATGCTGTGCCGGGCCAGAACCAGCGGAGGAACCGGGTTGCTGTACTCAAACTGTGGGTTGTAGTTGAAGTCAGACTTGAAGAACTTGGCCTTCTCTTTCTCCACGTTGGACGGCTTGATGGCGGAGAGGATGCAGAGCCTCTTGGTGTTCTCCACTTCCCGTGTGACGGATGCTTTGTGCAGCGAGGGGAGTTTGGTGCGAGGGGAACTCAGGGTCTTCCTGATCTGTGGGGCCGTACGAGGGTTCAAACCCATCGTACTTCCCACTACTGCGATGTTTCGAGCTGGTTTGGACAGATTTCCTGAGAGGACTCGGTTTGTCTGTGCTGGTTTAACGCCAACATCTGGTGCTCGACACTTTTTAGAAGCCGTGCTGCCTTGGGCTTTTCTTCTGGTTGTTACAGTGGCGCCACATTTTACAGATGTTTTCGGCCTCTTGAAGTGCTTGGGACTCCTCTTCTCTTGTTCCTCCGCCTGCAGCAGGGCGTTGTAGCTGCCGCTGCTGAAGAGGTCTTTGAGTACACTGGAGGAAACCTTCTCCAGGTAAACTTGGCCCGGACTCAGCGCCTTGTCAGCAGAGTTCAGGATGTACTTTTTGGACATTTCTACTTCAGGCCAGTGGAGTCTTTCTGAAAGAAGGGAGACGAGACACCAGTGAGCGAAGACAGTGAAAGTGTGAGCTGCTAACTTTAGGATCAGACGCTTTCACAGACCGCTTGATCCTCTTATCAAGGAGCAATTAGATCTCCACCAATGACAGGCTCAAAGAACAAGGTGATAAATATAGAAACCAACATTTGCAATCTCTAGCATCTCTCTAAGCAAGTTACAACTTTCTTTTCCCACATTGTGGCTGTCCTTCAGAGCCATAATGGTGTTTTCTGACACAAATCATCCCTGACTCAGTTTCTTGAGCGTCTTCTATCTCAGAGTGAATGATTCCAGAGCCGGGCAGGAACACTCAGGAGTCAGAGTGCAGGTCTGTGCAGTTTCCAGTTAGGTGACCTGGAACACCGTCATCACAGAGAGAGCAGGATAGAGTTTGGACAGGAGCACTGAGGCAGAATCCATGCAACCACAGGCAGAAACTAATGACGGCAGCACAGGATGGAAGAGAGAAGAGGACTCATACAGCCAATAAAACACTGTTATCTAACAATTCAGCTGGTTACCTCATCATTCAGATCAACCTCAAATGATAGTCTTATATCACTTCATACTGCAGGCAAGGAAGCAAACAACCAAGCATCTCCTGGGTGCTTTGTTTCAAGACATTCCCTGCCAGTTACCTTAAATCCTATGAAAGTTATGAGAGAAAACACAGTCCTGAAACCTGTGTAGATCAACTACAAAATAAATCAATACTGAAGCGCCTGTAGTTCATACATCACCATTACTCAGAACAGGACACTAGTGTGAATCTGAAAGCAGACGAAGAGCATTAATCAGCATGAGTCAGCACTGAGTACACTCGGCCATAACTCTCAACAACACAAATGCCTTGCTATGATACACTAACATAGGCACTCAAAGACACAATATATATTATACAGAGTACTGACATGTACTCTAGGTAAGGCCAGATAAGCTTATTTATAGAGCACATGTAAGACACTATCAAAGTGTCTACACAAGCCCTAACATACTAAACAAGGTACATGCAAAATAAGAGTGCTTTCAAATGTTCAGTTGTGAGCTAATTTGACTTTGTATGCTACTGTGTACTTCTACTCCTCTACAATTCAGAGGTAAATGGTGTACTTTTACTCCAAACAGAGTATTGGTACTTCTACTTTTACTCAAGTACAAGATCTGAGTACTTCTACTCTTACTCAAGAACAAGATCTCAGTACTTCTACTCTTACTCAAGTACAATATCTGAGTACTTCTCCCACCTCTGCCTAAGCTATTAAGCTAATTTAACTAGCTAGTTTTTGGTACACAGGTAGCTTTAATTGACCTCCTTGCTATTATAAAAGGTATATTACATGAATGTAATCCTTGTCCCTGATATGTAGTGACTCCTCCAGGTGACTGAACTTCCAGCTACAGTCACTAAACTCAACAGAAAGAGAAGATAAATGCAGATTACCTGTGACTTTAATGGACTCCAGCATCCTCTCCGTTCACCTGAGCGTTAGCCACTCAGCAAAGTTAGCCTAGCAGAAAGAGCCGGCTAATAAAGACTAGATATAAACCAAAGCGAGTTACCTGTACTTACTACGTGTCACGATAAACCATTAAATATATGTATAAGTATTAATATGTATAAGTATTTCTGATGTCTGACTGCAGAGCGTCCTGCCTTCTCTGAGCTGCGGACAAACTGACAGCAGAGAGAGAGCGAGAGGCTTTAGTGCTGTTCCCATGGTTACGTTGATAAGAAACGATAAGAACGCAATACACAGGGTGCTCATGGGAAATGTAGTCCGTCCATCCAAGTAGGTTTACACATACGAGATATTTTACAATATATATGGTGCACACAAAGACAAAGAAATAATAATATTCAGAAGAAAAAAGATTGCAATTGTAAATATAATAATCTTTATAATTAAAGCTATTTAAAAAAAGGATAGGCCTATGTAAAAGGATTGTATAGTAACTAATTAAACATAAAGACAATATTTACACAAAATATAAATATGTGAGAGACTGAATACAGTAAAATATAATAAGACAAATACTACTTAATTCAAGAGGTGGAGCAGAAGTGTTGTGCAGGATTTACAATATTGAAAAGAGACAGCGTAAGACTATGAGGAAAATGAACCAGTTTTGTCTTAAATTATCGAAGATTTATGCATACAATTAAAAGCAGAGCTAATTTATTATCAATGGTTTCATTTCAGAGCTCCTGTTATTCTATATGAGACGTTACTTACTTATGGAGCGTTTGTTACTCACCGTCTGTTGGTTCCTTGGGTTCAACTTTATTTTGTGAGTTTCGTGTTAATTGTTTCTCTTTCTTAAAGCAGTAAACCGTAAAGTAACTGTCGTGCTTCTGTTGTCCCGCCTCCAGGTATGTTGTATATAAAAGGATAGACAACATGTATTTAAGAATATCTGCGGCCCTTTGGATTTATCAGATGATCACATGGATGACTAACAGACCAATGCAGTTTCCCAGCTTGTATAATTGTTATGGTTTTGAATGATAACCATTTAATTTAGTCATATTTTCTTTTCTTAAGCATATTTCTGAATAAAAGATAATGTTTGGAAAATACAAGTCAATCATTATGGTTATTCTCTCTGTTCACATGCTGCTGGGACACAATGACATTGCATTTTCACACTTTATGGTCTTTTATTATACAAGTTAATTTAGTTTGATGAACCAAGTACAATTCTGTGGAACCTGTGAACAAAAATACAATCAAAAGTCAACGTATCGTTTTCTTTAATGGTGTAATTTTCTTTAAAAGTCAATCATTATTCTCTAAAATGAGTCTGTTCAGATGCTGCTGAGACACCGAGACATGAACAGAAGACTACAAAACAAACAAATACCATTTTGTGGACAAAGTAAAGGTAATTAAAGTCAACCAATCATTTTTCACTTTTTTTAAAGTAAATAATTATTCTCTTAATTAGTCTGTAGAGATGCTGCTGAGACAGACACATATCTTTAATATCCCTTGATAGATCAGTATGTAGTGTCTCTACTTTAAAGAGTCCTCTCCTGCTGATGATCTGGGGCCGTATTCACAAAGCATTTTATCTTACTGCTAGGAGTGCTCCTAACTCGCGCTAAAACATTTTACGTAGGAGTTTTTTCTTAAAAGTTATTCACAAAGCCGCTGAGACCTACTCATACTAAGGATAAATCACTAAGAGTGAACTAAGAGTGAACTAAGAGTGACGCGCCGTTGCTATGGATTACGTCGATTCTCGTGCATGAGTTTAGAAGCGGTTAGTACGGTGATTGGTTGTTCAGAGCAGGCGGTCTCGGTGAAACTCATCCGCAACATCCCACAAACGAGCCCACTAAATCACCGAAAAACAAGGAAATAGCCTAGGCTAGAAATGTATTCCTATCAAATAGTTATGGACAGTGCAGTTAGCAGAATACACGCAGGATGACAAGTTTGTGCAGACCACGATAATGACGTTGTATATGCACGTTAAAGAGAGAGAGCAAACAATAAAAATACGTAAATTGCATTAAATCAAGGAGGCAATTAAAAGCACCCTGCAAACTATTATCCAATGAGCATATTTCCAGCACTTAAACACTTTCAATAACAGCCCATACCGCCGTTCAAGTCCCCCTATCATGATGAATGAAAACAATCTGCGTGTTGATGGAATGTAATTTCTTTCTATTGACGAACACGTCCTCATCTTTTGATGGCGCAATTATTTTTATGTGCGTCCCGTCAATAGCACCGACCACACCGGGCATACCTGCAATTGCCATGAAGTTGGCTTTGATCCTGTGTAGTTGTTGATTGTCCAAAGGAAACCGGATAAACTGTTGGATGATATGTGGTCACTCTAGAGAGCGCGTTGATGGTTTGGTTTATGGCACGGCTGACTGATGGTTGCGATATTCCTAAATCGTCGGCATTGCAAAGTTGCATTTTCCCTGTTGCTAAATATCGTAGTGTTGCCAAACATTTTATTTCCGGACTAATCGGGTTATTCCTGTTAGTCGGGGATGTTATTGCATCCCGCACTAATTCCACAACAATTTTGATACCCTCATGATTTAGCCTATATCTCTTGATCAATTCACAGTCTTCCATTGTCTCCAAAACATTTCGTCTCTCAGCCATTTTCAGATTCTTTGTGAATAGGTCTTACTGAGTTAGGAGTCCTCTCGAGGACTTTTAAGCTCTCCCAGACTTAGGTGCTACTTTTAGGCCTAAAATACTTTGTGAATTGCTCTTAGTGAATAAAATTAGGAGTCCTAAATGTAAGACTGACACGCCCATTATGTTTAGGAGTTTCTCCTAAATTCGCCAGTTAGGAGCTACTTTTAGCCCTAAGATCCTTTGTGAATACGGCCCCAGATGTTTTATTATTTATTTGGCTCAATTCACAATCTTTGGTTTCCGACAAACCAAGTACCATTTTGTGGAACCTGTGGACAAAATAAATGCAATTAAAGTCAAGTTATCATTTATTTTAATGGGCCAATTTCCTTTGAAAGTAATTAATTACTCTCCTAATGAATCTGTTCAGATGCTGCTGACACACTGAGACAACTTTAATATCTGTTTATCTGAATGTATTTATATTTGGCTCAAAAAACACACTTCTTGGTCTTTTATTTGACAAGTTCATTAACTTAGACGAACCATATACCATTTTGTGGAACCTGTGGACAGAAAACACATTTAACTAAAGTCAACATATCATCTTTTTAATGGAGTAATTTCCTTTTCAATTCACACTTTTTTACTTAACATCAACGTATCCATGTTTTTCTGTGTGTACTATCCTCTCAAAGCAAATAATTACTCTCTTAATGAGTGTGTTCACATGCTGCTGAGACACAGAGACATAACTTTTGTTCATTAACTTATATAAACTTAACATCAATGTATCAGTATTTTTCTGTGTGTACTATCCTCTCAAAGCCTATCCCCTCTTAATGAGTGTGTTCACAAGCTGCTGAGACACAGAGAGGCGTTGGTGCCTCCGAACCCGAAGGAGTTAGTGAGAGCGACTCTTCGTCCCTCAGCGCTCCACCTCTGCGCTGTGAAGGGCACGTAGTTCAGGTTGAACTCTGGATCTGTGCGGTCCAGGTTCAGGGTGGGAGGAAGGACCCCGTGGAAGCAGGACAGAGCCGTGAAAGCTGCCTCCAGAGCCCCTGCGGCCCCTAGAAGGTGCCCCGTGGCCCCTTTAGTGGAGGAGACGGACAGATGCTCGGCGCTCTGATGGAACAGCTTCTTGATGGCGGCGTTTTCAGCGGCGTCTCCCAAAGGAGTGGAGGTGGCGTGAGCGTTAACGTACGTCACGTCTGAAGGAGAAACCCCCGCATCTCTGAGGGCCGCTGACATGCACCTGAGAGGACAGAGGGCAGAGGTCAGAGGTCAGTACAAAGATGTGGAATATTACACTGTGATAAATAGGTTTGGACATTTGTTTTAGCATTAAATTGTGTTTCACAAAAGATACAATAAGCTAAATTAGAGGGAATGGTCATTTTTGCCATCTCTGAGAGAGTTAGGATCTATGGTATCAGTGTAATAACAACATATGAGTAAGAGTAACTTAGAAGATAGTACTATTGGGTTGTTGTTATTGAAAACTATTAATATGAAGATTTTTTTTGTTTTTTCGTTGAATATACAAATATTACCATGAATGTGGATAAATACTGTTTTTAACAATACGGTATTCTGTTTTTCACATTTGTTATTTTTTATTTTTGTATCTGTTCGAAATAAAGACTGAAAATGAAAAAAATGAAAAATAAGTATTGGAGTAAAACTGGAATGAATAATCATGACTTAGATTGTGTCTGATTGTTGTGATTTGTGTCTGATTGTTGTGATGTATCCATAATTCGATCCCAAACTTTGGAACCACTACTTTAATAAGTGACAAGAGTTTTACTGCATTATATAT